TTTCGCCATCATCCTCACCTTCAGCTTCATCTTCAACGTCTTCTTCATCTTCGTCATCACCTTCAGTTTCGTTTTCATCTTCGTCATCATCTTCAACTTCATCTTCAGCCTCATCTTCACCTTCAACATCTCCTTAATCTCTTTCTTAATCCTTGTCTGTATTTTTTAGTTTTTCTTATCAGAGCAGCTTTTAGTCGAGTTAGTACAACATGGATCCATTCTTGTAAAATACTCGTGAATTGAGGATCGACAAGCGCAGCTCTTAGTCCATCTTAAAGCAGCTTTCCACAGCATGAAAATTAGTTGCATATACAATGAAAAATTTCTGAATTTGGTACATAAAAATTTGTATTATTGTGGGGGATAGAACTCCTAAAGATCTATTGTGACCACTTCATCCCATCCCGAAAAAACCGCATCGCGAATGCGAGTAAATTCCCAGTTTATTCAGGTGAAAGTTCAGCCTGCAAAATGCTATATGAACTCCCATGAAAATTTTTAACTTTTTCTTCATTCATTCATTAACCCCTTTTATGCTTTATGTTCTTATAACCGCTTTGGAATGATTCCTTTCCTTTAAAGGACGCTCCTTTCGTTGCCAGTCTTTTGGAAATGGCATTTCCTTCAAACTGTCCCGGAATTTAGAGACCTCAAATTCGATTGTTCAGATCGAATGTGTTCAGTTTATTAACTAATGCACTCCATCACCAGTTTGTATGTTTTCTGATAAGATATAAANTTTGCTTGATATTGAATTCAGCACACTTTTCTATAGAGCCTGTAAAATTAACCTTTATTTTTCCACAGGTGCCGAGTATCTCAACCTCGGCCCAAATACACATATTCCGGTACCCTCGTCAGTCAATGAATCATTATTGTATCAAGATATCATATGTTGGTTTATCCGACATGTTTCGGATATACCTAGCCAATTTTTGTATAACTTTGTTCACCTATTGTTCGCATCCTATTGCGATTTCAGGGTATTGCTTCGTTATAGTATCGATTTTTTACGACTCAGAGGTCCTTCTGCCCGCTTTTTGTTGGTACCAGTCATTCTAAAGATAACGCTCTTCGCCGACGTATGGACATGAATATGAAACCGGGTTAAGATCAAGAAGAAGAAGACGGTGTTGGACAAGTTCTCAGCATACTAGTTATGCGTACGCAAGCCAGCGTTTGTACCTTGATGAGCGTCTTAATGGCTCCAAGATGTGTGGTTCTATCAGACCAGATGTTGGCTCAATAAATTATCATTGGTCATACTATCGCCATAGCCGCGTGTGATTTGCCAGAGTAAATTTTGGTCTGTTAAGGCCTTAAATTTCGGTTCAAATATGTTGCTATGAAATGACGTTAAGCAGCTGGACCTGGTCCGTCAGAATATACAAGGTCCCCTCCGAGCTGTTTGATGACAAACAAGATTTTAGAAAGGAGAACTTCTTGTCTCGGATGTGGAAGAATGCAGTAAGAGCTGCATGAACGATTTTTGTATGTGCTCCCAAAATACATTTTTTAAAAATCACGCTCCTTTTTCCTTTTTTTATGTATGGAGGTAAACCGGGGACAAAATCAAGTATATCCTCCTATCACAAACAAAAATTCACCGCCTCGTCATGGGAATGACAGTTATAATTCAAAAAAATGTAGAAAAGTTGTAAAAGGATTTTATCAAATAGCAAATAAAAAATATATAAAAAGTGGCACAAAACTGCAAAAAAACATACATACATATGTACATACGTAAACATCCAAAACAATATCCTTATTATCCATTTTATGGTCTTTAGATGGCTGCTGTTTGGTTATACATATATATTGCTCGTTTGCGTCCACAAATAAAGAGAGACACCGTGTCCTGTAAAGCACACCAGACCTCCCACACATACAACATTACATTACATTATCGATGACCTATCCAACAACTACTGTTCCTTTATTTCAATTTCCTTTTTGCTTGAATCGGGCTTTCTCCCTTCGCTCTACTTGCCGTTCACTCTTACCTCGCTTTTTTCTAATTCTCTCAGACATCTAAGCATCCGCCACTCTCATTCTAAGTGAGTACGAAAAAATAGGAAAAATGTTTTATTGGAATTTGGTTATCTCTCTTGATAATTAACTGCCTCAAATTCTCTGGGAAATACTGAATGCATTACTCTTTACTCACCCTCGTTCGGGGAGCGGCCCTGCCTTTTCCACTCTCCAATGTCACACGGCGCACGTGCGTCACTTCCAATCTAGTATGCGGCAACTTTAATTATTCGCAAAGTAGAAAAGCTTCGCATGCAGTTGGAATAAAGCTCAGCGCAAGTTGAATATGCAAAAAATTTCCATCTCTCTGATATTTACTTATTTTTACTGTCCATGGTCATGGCTGCCAGCAGCTCAATGGAAGTCGTGTTATGACGAACGCACTCAGTGCGTTTTACGCGCTCCACTCTGTACCCATAACGAGCCATCAACCACACGGAATTTATCATCAGCATTTGTGACACACCGGTTGAGGGTGAATGCAACACTTCATTAGAGGCACTTTTTCAAAGATATTTATGTATATAAATACATATATTAACGGGTGTTGGTTGAAGTGTAGCGTATCCGTTGACAAGTTATTATCAATGACAATATGCTGCGAACGAATCGGCATCACTGGCAGGTAGAGTGGCAGCGTCCGAATTATGCTCCGATCGGAGTACATCTACTCCTATTTCTGCGACGATATTTGTAACATTGATTTTCGGATTATGTTACACAAGTCTCGAGGAAATTCATCAAGTTTTCAGTTACTACACTTTCGAAGAACTAAATATTGCTTGGCGTTTTGCCAATTAAGTGGGTCTAGCGACTTAACCTTTTGCTTCTCTCATTTTAAGCGCCATAAAATCAAACTTTAAATTTAAGCACAAAATTTTTAAATTATGCCTTATAAGTATTATGTGCTTCATAAAAAAAAATGTATTTCAGTACGAAATTTTCTATTAAACCGATTTCTATCCGACTTTGGTGTAAATGAAATGTATACATACTCTTATACTTACCCTTAGAGCTCAGCCCAGTGTCACAGAGTCCAAAACTACAAAGAACATAGAAATAAAGAAGTCAAACATCCCATTTCTCTTCTGTTTTTCTTTTATTTCCAATCTAGCAAATTTACTTTTCCTCGTGGCAACCCTGCCATCCATTATATAAGCTCTCTTGTCATGAGCTTTTTGCTTACAAACTAAAACATACGTTTAGGCTGAATACACTTCGCTCACGTCCATCAAAAGTGTATTAACTCAAAAAATCTCATTTTTGATATTATAAAATTTTGTTGTAATTTTTTTGCAAAACACCAGCTTCACGATATGATTAGCATAAGCTCAACAACGGTATTTTGAGTTTTCTGACAAAGGGAAAATTTTCATTTTTGAGAGAGTACTATTCGTCTATTACGCTCACTAATATTGCGAACCCCTCGATTATTTTTGCTTGTAAAGCTCGTCCAAGGACGACTGCCGGACATCTGACTCACCACTCTTATTAATTTGCCCTGAAATACTTTGTGTGTGCTTAGAATCTTAAAAATGGTTTTATTGAATCATTTGGCTCAAACCTGGAATGAATCGATTGAGGAGTGTTTTTGAACCAAACAAGTGAACAATGGTTTTCGGGTGTTTTGAATGAATATACTTACATGTGTGCCAACATTGATCAGCTGTTGCGTCAGTCGCTCACTGATGATCTTGGGTCACATCATTCATTCCCCCCACAAAAAAGTTGCATATGCATTTGTATCTTTCTTCTCTGACTTATTGCAGTAAAAATTTGGAAATCTCTTGCTACACTCTAACAAGTTCCTGTAAATAGCCTTCCAGTTCCGTATCGCGCTTACACAATTCGTGGCCTGCCGTCGTTTTCACTTGACTTGTTGAAAACCATTTTTTTTTTTTTTTGGTCATTTTCCACTAATCGTTCTGGAGAACGAAAAATGACACTGAAGATGTCACAACGCCAAAACCGGTTTGTCTTCAAACCAAATTTGACAAGGGATGACAGAAAATCGTTCCACATTACATCTTATTTACATACTTACCACACTCTTCAACAATTCAAATCAAAGACCTTTTCTTAATTTGATACATCTTCTTTTACGTCGACTGACGTTTTTTATTTATTTATTATTGTTATTTTGTATAATATTTCTTACTATGTACTCATTATTCAGTTCAACCGGACCGACTTATCTTAACTATTTGTGACCGAATTTACTTGTTTCAAACACAAAGACAGAGTTTCTAATTTATTTAATGGATAGAAAATATTATCTGGAATATAATCAAAAAAAATATATCAAGCAAAAACTTTAATGGAATTATATTTGCATCTAAGACGTCTAGTCTTTTAAATTTATAAAAAAAATGCTTTTATTTAGATGGTAGTTATTTAAAAAATTTCAAATCTAAAATTAAATAAAAGCCCCAAAATCGTTGGAAGCCACGAAACACAATTTGTTGGGTGAAAAAAAACAAGTGTTTTTTTTCTGTTTTTAATTTTCAACCGTAAAAATTAATTTTATTTTAAAAGCGTACTATTTACAAAAGGTAACTAAATTAATTAAATATAGAAAATGGCGGCTTGTGCGTTGGATGCGTAAACCACGACCACCGCACACTACAACTGTCCGTCCGTCCGTCCTCGCGTCTCGCTTGACTCTATGCTTAGCCAAATTTTGTAGGCATACTTAAGTACTTAATGTACGTGGACTTGCTAAGAGACGCATTCTGTATTTTCTGTATTTCAATTCTTTATCATTTGTGACGTGCGTGACACTTTACGCAAAATACATTTGTTAGGAAACAATAATTACAGTTATAGGTCATGTATGTATGTATGTATGCATGAATGTTAATATTTAGGATTTGCAAATTTTTTTATTGTATTACATTAGTGTGTGTGTATGTGTAAATATGTAGGTTTCAGTATTTTGTGTATATGTAGGGTCTAGCTTCATTTGGAGCTTTTACTTCTTTTTTTTTGTCTACTATTCCTCTCTCGTCCTTTCCTAGCTAGTTGGGTGGGGCAAAACGTTTAGATTCTCAAACTTCTTCACAAATACTAATACGGGCTAGTACGCTTATACATATTCATGTATGTTCTAATGTCTGTTTGTAGTTAGGTTATATATGTAGATCCGATTGCGGATATTCAGCGAAAACAAAAATCCGAATTAACATTGGGAAAGGGTTTTCCGCTATTGAAAAGGACCACTCCCTCCTGCATTGTTTTCGGTCGCTCTCTCTCTATCGACTTAATTTTTGCGATTTCGGTGTTGTTTTTGTTGTTTGTGTTGCTTTTGTTGCGACTGATGCTGCTGCTGCTGCTGCTGTTGTTGCTGTTGATGTTGGTTATGATGGTGGTGGTGATGGTGTGACGTCGACTGGCAGTGCGCGTGCTTGCAGCTGTCCGCGCTGCGCAGCACCTCAGCATACGACATCTCCAGATTCTTCAATTGATTGAGTTCCATGGACAGAAAGCTTGGCCGATATTCTAGATTACTTAAATCCAATTCACGACCCCGCAGCGTGGACTGAGTGGCAGCGGCGGCGGCGGCGGCGGCAGGCGAATTCAAGCTACGATTGTAAATGACCATCGAGCTGCCGTTCCATTCGTAGCGTGCGCGTGAGGAGCGTGGCTGTTCGGCGCCGGTGCTGGCCAGTGGCGATTGCACATAGGGGCGCACATCGCGTCGTTTCTTGCCACTGGCGACGAAGAAGCGCGGCGGCGATGGCAGCGTGGCAGGCGACTCGGAGCGATCACCGCTAAAGTTGCGGTTCTTGCGACGGTTCTTCTTCTTTATACCCACGCCAACCGACAGGTATTCGAGCGGCTCACGCTTAAGTGGTGTCAGAACGCGGCCATTTTCGACAATTGGCGAGTTGGCGCCAACAACCAGTGTGGTGATGGAGGTGCCCACATGCATGGGCGGCTGATTCTCTTGATTCTTCTCGATGATGTGCTTCTTGGCGGTCTTACGCTCCAACTTTGTTATGCACTCGGACATGGCGAACGATTGTTCGGAAACCGCAGACGAAATGACGCTCTGTGCATCGTCAGCGAAATCGATTGGCAGCTCTTCATTGGCAGGCGTCACTGGCGGCACCTTGGCGACGTTGCTAGCGCTAACTGCTACGGGCTCCGAGTCGTCGAGCAAAGGCAATTTCTCACCCTCTTCCTTATTGGTGGCCGCCTTCTTCAAAACAGCAAATATCTCTTTGAATAGTTCCTTATACTCCGGTCGATTGCGGAAATGCGATTCAATGGGACTGGCGTCATCATAAATGCTGAACTTGCACACCTCACCATCGCCGATGGTGCACAAGAATGACCCAGGCCGATTCTCTGTCTGCGTGCACTTGTTGCTCGTTTCGTCGGCATAGCCAGAAGATGAAGTCTCCGCCTCTGAGTACTCAGTGGGTGTGCGACCACGCATGTCCTTTGTGCTGTTCATAGTTGCTTTGCCAGTGCTTTCGTTAGCGCAGATTTGCGCACCTGAATCGTCGCCATTTGGCACACTGCCATTGGAGCTGTAACCGCCCACAGCGCCACCGCTGTCATCGGCTACAGCCTCATCCGCAACGTACGATGGCGTATGAGAAGACTTTTGTGACTGACTAAACTCGCCGGATGACTGAAACTCGTCGGCCAATGACATGCCATCACCACCACTGCCACTGCCGCCACCCGAGCCAAGCCACGCCACCTGTAGTGTTATTTTGCGTGCGATAGCGGAGCATTGCACCTCGAGGAGAGCTTCGTATTTCTCCACAAGCTCGCGATACGGATTGGGACTGCCAGGAATGTTCAAATCCAAAGAGTCGGTAATGCGAGAAGAGACCTGAAAAACGGTGTTGGACAAACGGGGTTGTGATATAGTTAATAGGCAGCCTTGGCATTACAGGTAAGTAGCTTTGAAAAAATCATTTTTATTTATTTTTTTTGTTACTAAAAAAATATTTTGTTGTTTTCGTGAAGAAAAGTTTAGGAAAAGTGGAAAGCGTTTATGAGGAAATAGTACGTATGCAGGTAGGAGTAAAATTTTAGTAAATAATAGCACGGTTGCATATGCAGAATCACAGTCGCAACAATAGCAACAACAAACAATACAAATTTACAAATAATAACAGATACTTGGAAGAACAGATTATTTAGGAGCTGCATGCACAAGTAAGAATAAACAAAAAAGCGATAAATGAGTTTACCCCAAAAAATTTTAAAATTTTATAAAATTTATTTAGATACACTTAAAGGGCCAAACGGCTAGAAAATGGTTCTGCGTTTTAGTTAGCGATTTTTCCTGAAAACTTCTTGATATTTAAATGAAAAAATATAAATTATGAATTTAAAATGTTTTTTTTTTTTTAATAAAATTATCACAAAACCGTTCCAATAGTTAAATTAAAAATTAATTTTACATGTTTTATTTATAACAAAAGTTTCAATACTTATTTCAAAAAAAGAACAGAAATTCAGAACACAAGACCCATACTGTGTGGAGAGTTAAATGCTTAGGGCCGTTTTCTCAAGTAGATTTTAAAATTTAGCTGCCCTTCAAAGATCTTTTTTTTTTAAGTAGAACAAGATTTGTGTTTAAAGTGTAGATAAATTTTAAAATCTAATTGAAAAAAGGACACTTAAAGAAGTAAAACCGAATAAGGGTTAAAAGTGTATGTATGTATGTGTATGTGTTTATATGTATTAACCCAAAAATGTTTGATCCAAATATGGTTGTTATTTTTTCATGCAATTATCAAATGAAGTAGGGGCTGTCAATGCGCTAGTACGTATCAAAAATCGCCTTTGCAATATGAACAGTCAGAACTATTTGAAGTATTTTGGGGTACTCGCTGAGGCTTAGCAGCCTCTTAGCTGTGTAAATGTGTGGCAAAAATTTGCGAGGACTTTGGCAAGAATTGGAATCGCAGCATCACTCAGCAGAAGCTGCCAAATTCAACTACCCAAACTTAGCAGCATTCGGTAGGTAATAGCGGCTGTTAATAACGACCCCATTTTCTATGTACTATTTTTTTAAGGACAATGTAAAGAAGGTGGTGAGGTGTTAGTTCAACGGTGGAAAGTAGACATGTGTGGTCTTGCGTTCTCGCTGTCTTCTTACTTAACTAATAGCAAAGCAACAAAAATAAATATGTAGATACATAATTTAATTTCTCATTATAAATTACATGTGTACTTGTACATACTCGTATGCATGTATGTATGTATGCGAAGGGCCAATTAGATATGAAATTAATATTTCTTCTTAATTTTCAGTAATTTTCTTACAATTTACAACTAAAACTATGGCGGGCGCTACACTACAAGAAACGACTCTTGGCACTATTGAATTTTTCGTGGTGGTTCCAGTAAGTGTTTTTTTTTCACCGATTGTTTACTGGGCACATGCGCACATTCTCATAAATGGAATGTTTGTATGTAAATAAGTAAATTGTGTAAGTACTTGTACAGATTTCTTGCAAAAAGGAATAGTTTTTCAAATCGGCTTGAACATTACTATGAGTAACTATTTAGTAAATTATTTTAGTTAATACGAAAAGTTAGGAAACATTGGCAATTATTAACAGTATTCACTTAGACTAACCGACAAGCGGTAACTTTTAACAAACTTAAATTAAATTGGCTTAATTACAATTTTAAATTCTATATTTTAGTTACATATATCAAGAGTATATATGTATATGTATAAGGGTGGTCCTTAAAAATATCAACATCATAGGGCACTCCTTTATTTTGTTCTACGTACAAAATAAAGACATCCAAGAAAATTTCAAAATTTTTTTTCTTTTTTTTAATCGCAAAAAATCTACAAATTTATAATTTTGACAGCTATAAATCAGCAAGTTTATAATTTTTTCGATTTTTACAAAATTTAAAATTTTTTTAAACCATCCTAGCGACCTCAGAAAAGTTGTTTAAAAATTTTAAATTGCCTTGCGTATCTTTATTTTGTAGGTAGAAAAAAATGCAGGGGTGTCCAATACCAAATTTAAATATTGATATTATTCAGGACCACCCTAATTGGTATGTATATATGTACAGGAAGTCGATTTCATTTCTTAAATTCGTCGCATGATTTCGTATACACATATGCTAGTATGTAAGTTTGTCTGTAAAGCAGGTATGTAGTTGTTTTTTAATGTTTGCTTTCATTCTGATTCATTTCATTTTTTTTTTTTGTATGTATTATACGTAGCTGCTTGATGCTCCGCATTTCAAAATGTCAATGCGAAGTCTTCATCATCTGGTATGGAACTAATCAGACGGCAAATGAATAAGGCGGGCCATTGCAGACATTTCGCAATCCAACATAAAATATTGAATTTTCTCATAGTCTTCTGCCAATGTTTCAGAAATATTGTATCTAATGAGTTTGACAACTGATCTTGCAGGTACATTTTGTTGGCATTTGAGCTGCAAATCGGACAAACCGGCGTTTTGTCAGCCTTGAATTAGAAATCAAAGAAAACAAAAAAACCAAAATAGAAAAACAACAAAAAACAGCCGAAAACACAGAAATAGAAATATTTAAAAAAAAAATAACAGTGTTTCATTTTCTTATGGTGTAAAAGTGTTGGTGAAACATACGCACACACATGTTAACCAAAAAAAAAAAAAAAAATGGTTCGAAAAAATAAACAAATATGTAGTTAAATTAATGCCGCCCAGTAGTACATTAGATGAAGTATGTATGTAAAAAGGGTTTGTGCAAATAAAGCCTGCGCAAACTCACACAAAATCAGGGGATTAAACAATTAAAATATGAAAAATTAGCACAACACACATGCACATACACATACATATACACACTTAAATAAATATAGATACATGTTTTGAAAAACACAGAGCAAAACAGTAAAACGCAAATTCGATACCAGAAAAGAAAACGAAGACTAAGTAACTAAATGATTAATGCTACGTTCACACAAAATTGGAAATTATTTAATATAAGACCGACTTATGATTAATGACTCAATTACGGATGGCAACCGAATTTCAGTTGCGTTGTCAGTGGCTGAAATGGCAACTGGTTGCCGCGGAATTTTTTGTTGTAAAAATTTTTTTATTTCTTCAACTTTTACTCTCAAGCGTTGATTCCTGATACCTCAAAATTCTATTATCTTCAACTTTATAGCACTGAGCTTGCGTTGCTATCCATAACCGACTTACAAGACGTCAGCTTAGTACAAACATATGTACTCATACATATTTCGCCAACAAAAAATATTCGAATTCTACGAATTTACTGGTCAAGGCTTGCTATTGAGCTGCATTATTATTTTTAAAAAATTTGACTGTGAATTTGAGTTATTATAGAGAGAAGGAAAGCTGACCAAAACCGACAACAAGCTTGTTCGCTCCGTTTAATAGTGATTCACAATGTGCGGCAATTCGCCCGTAGGAACTTAATTTCATGCTTATGTCAGGGGATTGAACTTTTGAACAAAGCATTGCCTCCGTACTCAAAAATTACAAAGGAAACGACCTTACAGCAGGGTTAATAAGAACACATACATATACTTTACCTTACCTTACCGCGGCGTATGAAACGGCTAATAAGAGAAGGTTTAGCTTTTATGAGCTTTATATTTTAGTATAATTTTTTCCAATATTTGTAAGTCATTTTTAGTTCATTTAAATAAAGTTTAAAGCTTTTATTTATATATAAAAAAATCTTTCTTATGTTAAAAACTTGTTTACGAGGGTCACTAAAATAGTCTATAGAATGTTCAACACCAATGTAACTTGAGTCGATCTGACCTTTGCCTCGTAAAATTTGACAGTTTTAAATATTAACATGCTCAGAATGTTATAACTTTCGAAATAGATTGACACAGCAACAGTGCATCGATTAACTTTTTTCGAATTTTTGGTGATGAAACACGAGCAAGGGCCAGTGTTCTGCGTTCAAGCGTGGTCGTACTTCGCTCGCTGATAAACATCGCAGGACGATAATGGAAGATCGTCTTGTTATATAGTATAGTGAGATTAAAACATTATTTTCCTAAATTAAAAAAAAAAAAAACTTTCTATCAAAAATTGGAAAAAATAACATTAAAATATTTTTATATAACCCCTAAACCATAAAAAGATTAAAAATTCATATTTGAGCTTAAGCGTGAAACCAAGGATTTTCTTACATCTAAAAGTTATTAAACCATTTTTTTTTTTCTTAGAATTACTATAAATTATTATTTTTAATGAATCAAAAAACTCAAATTAATGCGGATGTAATCATAAAAGTGTGAACGTAGCATTACGGGGTATTTAGAGCGCCATGTTAAGTTTTTAATTACATGCATCGGTATGAATGTAAGATTGTACGAAATTAAGCAAACAATGAATAGAAGAGAGTGATGAATCGATTGCTTATTTCAAACTAAATATTTATCATTTTATTCATATAAAAATTGTAAATGTTTTGCATTTGATGACAATGAATGAATCGACTACAAACTAAAAACATATGTATGCAATCATGTAAAACTAAGTTATGTATGTATATTAAAAATAATACCATTAGTAGCATCTCAGGTTGATAAATAGCACAGTTTTCAGAAAAATAAGGGTGAACTGTCTGTCTCTGTGTGTGTATAATTAAAAAATAATTTGCTCTTAACAAATTTGGCAAGAAAGTGTTACACTTAGAGTATTTTCGAAAAATTGCAATTAAATTAATTACAAAAAAAACATCAAGTAAGGTTGTTTTTTTTTTATTTTAATAATTTTGCCTTCTTGTTCCGATATTTTTCTAGGAAGCACAGAAAACACGCAGCTATGAAAAGCGGCGTTGATGTTGTCGCGGTTTGGTGACAAAAAAAAAAATAAAAATATGAAAATTGCACTTGATGTATGTAAGTAGTTTGCAAAGGGTTGAGGGCAATTTAGGGCACTTTGTATGTTGGTAAATGATTGTGTGTGTGTATGTGAATTAGTGAAAGTTGTGCGTTTATTGTTTAAACATTTGAATTTGAAAAGAGTTTTTTTTGTTTTTTGTGTTGTAGCTAACAAAACTATTAATGCGACACAATTTTGCACAGCGCTTGCGCAGCATCAACCTCAGCCTCACCACCATCAAATGCATCAATGCAAGTGTCATAAGCCGCGCATAATGTCAAAGAGTAGATTCTTGAAATAGAAACAATTTCTCACCTTAATCGATACACCCGGACGATAGGCGGCCTGTGAGCATTCGCTGGCATTATCGAGCAAACTTTGCTCCTCATCCTCGTGGTACTCTTCTGTGGGGGCCAGCGATGACTGCTCGTCGCCGATGGTGCCGCGCTCCTCAACCACGCGCAAGCAACGGCTGCACATTTTACCTTGCCTGTAAAATGAAGTCGAGAAAGCAAATAATTTAATACACAAAAATTATAAACAAAATGTGTAGTCGCGCACTAACCGCACTTCATCCAATATGGACAGCTCCTCCTGCATGGAGCGCATTTCCTCATTTGGACTATTGTTCGCCAAGCGGCTCTGCAACGTCTGATTCTCTTGTACTGCAAAGGGCGCGTAAAATGAAGGAAATAATTTAGAAAAAAAAGTTTTAATTACTTATGGCCATCAGTTGCTCCTCCAACTCAGTGCAACGCTGCTGCTCGGCCACGAAAGCCTTCTTCGTCATCTCCAAATCGTTGACGAGCTTAATAATCTCCTCGCTGTCCTCAGCGCCGCACACCAAATCGCTCAGAGCCAACGAATTGTTTTGGCTGTGGCTGTGGCTATGGCTGGTGCCGATGCTGGTCGAGTTGACTTTACTGTCCAGTGACGCTGCGGAGGCGAAAGCAAAACTGCAGCTCTCAGGTGCAGTGGTGTTGGCTTCGAAACCCAGCTAAAAACAGTTCACCCACGTTATATATATAAGCAACGACGCATGCCAAAAAAACAAAAACAGCTTACCACTTCACCACTGCTGCCATCACCATTGCTTGTTGCATTTGCCTCTTCGGCTGCGCCACCATTCCATGCTCCATTGCTTCTGTTCAGCTCGTTGGCCGCACCCGCGGCATTGCGTTTCTCATTGGCACTGCTGAGGCGCTCGTTTTTTCGCCGCTCCATGGAGAGCACTTGTCGCAGCTCTTCCAACTGCTTGTTGAGCTCATCTTGACGCGCCTCAAGCGTTTCGATGTTTTGCACAAGTCTGTGGAAAATATAAAAGATTAAAAGAAAAATTTTTGCGCAAGTAAATGCCGGCGCTACTGTCTATCGACTTACGTCTTTATATGCTTCTTGTCGGATGTGTTCTCGGCGGTCAGCCGCTGGTTGGCGCGCTCCAAATCCTGTATGCCAATGTCCAGTTGCTCGTACACCTTCAGGCGCGTATCGTTGACCTCACGCAGTGCGTTTGTGTGTTTCTTCAAGTACTGCGTATTTAAAACAAAAAAACAAAAACAACAAAAATAGCAACAATTACAAATCGATTCCGAAAATTTAAATTTAATTGATTTAAGAGGCGCGATTCGGGAATGCGGTTGGCTATTTTTGCACCTCGGCGCTGCGCAATTTGGCGCGAGAGTGCGGAAGTCGCCACACCACGAACCACTGCAGCAGCAGCAGCCGCGCCTTCAAAGCGTGTTCACGCGCACTTGACGTGCTGCTTCGCGGCCCGGCAGCTGCGGCATGCCACAGGCGTTCGTGCGTTAAATGGGTCAGTTGCACTTTTTCTTTGATTTGCTTTTGGCATTCGATATGTAAGAGCTAAAGCAAATAATTAAAACAAATAAAAACATTTGCACATTTGTAATCCAAATGCGGCGGGTAACAACAACAACAACAACAAAACCAGCACTCGTACTCGTACGTACAATTGTTAAGTGGAAATATTTTGTGAATTTGTTGAGCAAAGACTTTTCTTTCCACACGAGTGCCGCTGGCAAACCTCTATCAGGTATATACACACAAATGCAAGCACAAACAAGCGGCAAATATATATTGACAAGAAATCGAAAAAGTTTCGTGTCTGGTGAAATTTGGTGTAACTGCTAAAAAAAGCAGCAAACCCCAACGGCAGCACCTCCAGCATCTTTCGCGTCAACTGTGGCAAAATAACCACACAAATCCACCGACGAAATGCTGGCAAGCAGTTACGCCTGATTGAGTTGCAACATTTGCTGCTATCGGCA